GGAGGTTGGGCTATCAAGAGCTGAGATATTATATGACCGTATTTAAAATAGAGTAGTCAAGTTAAACACCGTGATTTTTTATCATCATCATTATCATCATTTCAGCCATAGGACATCCACTGCTGAACATAGGCCTCCCCCAATGCTTTCCATGTGATTTCTTATATTGTGAGGTACTTACTAATTGAAATCCATGTGACTTTGTGAAAGTTTTTTTTTAGTCTGGTGTAGATGTACCTTTCAGTAAAATTTAAGATTACACTGAAAAATGTTATAAAATAATGTAGTGTGGTGTTTGTTGAACCAAAAGTTTGATATTGACAATGACGTAAAAATATAATTAGGTAGGTGTCTCTTATTACTATTTTCAATTTCCTGAAACTAAAGTGTAAGAGTACCTACTTAGCATACGAGTATAATTTATGACGATGCAATAATGCTACTACCATTTTAAGAAAACTTTCGGATGTACTTACGAAGAAACTTTTTTGTAGGCAGTATTGTATTACTGTTGTAATTCTGAATACTTTAGTAGTTCTTGCGTCTAGAATATTTTTTACGTGAAAAATCATTTTTTAAAAATCTAAGCCCAAAATCTAAACCAGATATCCAATCTATTCCACACCTTTCCCTGTTCCCGGTAATTGTGTTTCGTTATAACGAGTTTTTTGGCGTCCGGTACCCGTTGCAGCCGACCTGCGCTGCGTTTGCTTTGCTCATTTACTCCTAACTCTACATAGGTTGTGTGCATTATGACAACAAACTAATTAGTCTAATTATCTACTTAAAATGAGTCTTTGTTGTGGTTTCTTGTAGTGCTAGAATCTAGCTTTAACTGATATTAATTGGTTCAGAATTGATATGCTTCTTCAATAAGTTTCATTTCAATGAAATGAGATATACATAAGGTATAAGGTCACCTCCAAAAGACAGACGATATTTAAGGGACAAATAATCTATACTTATAATAAATCTGTAGAGAGGNTATACTGATTAAATTAATCCTGACTCTAGTTCCCATGAGTTCGTATGCGTATTATTGGCTAGTGATTAGAATTGCGTTCGCGATCTGTATTTTAACTAGCAGGACAGGTTACCAAATGAACGTATGCACGTCTATTTCGTTCTCTAATATTAATGGTTAAGGCTAGATGGATATTGAAGTGAACAAGAAGACATTTATTTAATGTAGGTAACTACAACGTAGAGGTTTCCGAGTGCCAAGCGAATTGCGTCTTTAAAGAGGTTGAGGAAAGAAGTTTCTACGAAAACTTATGATTGTTAAAGTATTTTACTTGGACCTTCTTGAAATATCAAATCAAATAACTATGTTTTTCAGTACTTTACAAGTTTGTGTCCAGTCAATTAAAATATGGCGTTACATAGACACACTTGCGGCTAGTTAGTTTTCAATGGACACCAACTGCAAATTGATGAGAAAATCTCTCTATGTACTCGTATATCCCGAATTATGCGACTTCCAGTGGCCGTTCTCGCGCAATTACATTGTGAAGACAGCCTCGTACGAGCGAAGACTGGCCATCAATTAGGAGTCTAATTACCACCAGTGCTGAATATGCAGGAGCTAGCTAATGCTGCTTCTTGGACCAGAGTGCCGGATTAGCATAACATCAGGAGTGTGGACAGCACACGGTATAGTGCAACTCTACAAGTGCGTAACGATGCTTGCTTAAGTGAAGCAGCAAATCGAACGCACAGCGTTGAATAGAGCTCTGTGATTGGTTCGTGTGTGACCCTGTGCGTCCATGCGCACTGTGAGATGTCATAGTACTATTTGTGATTACGGGCGTTAGTATACAAATGCATACTATAGTTACTATAGTTGCATACCACGTTGATGCTACACGCTGGGCATTTGTAGCCAAAATTGAAAAGAGTGAAGTGAGAAAAGTAGGTGGGACTAGTTTGACCACTACATAATAATAATATTTAGATGTAACTATGAAGAGTAGATAGGGGGTAGCGTAAAAAAATGTCTAATTACCACCGGTGCTGAATATGCAGGAGCTAGCTAATGCTGCTTCTTGTACCAGGGTGCCGGATTAACATAATATTACGGGAGTGCGGACAGTGCATGCACGGTATTGTACAACACAAGTGCGTACTCATACATCATACTCTTATGCCCGTATTCACAAACATTATTATGAGGTCTTACAGTGCGCGTGGACGCACAGAACACATGAACCAATCACAGAGCTCTATTCAACGCTGTGCGTTCGATTTGCTGCTTCACTTAAGTCACTTAACTACTTCTGTCAATTTTGGCTACAAACGTCCAGCGTGAAGGACGTTTGTAGCCAAAATTGACAGAAGTAAAGTGAGAAAAGTAGGTGGGGATAGTTTGACCGTACACATTTTAGATGTAACTATAAATAACACTGCGTTACAAATGAAAAAAAAATTAAGTACCCGCTTTGAAATGTCGCGTTTTCTTATTAATTCGNTACCACATGTGTTTGGAACTTTTTATCTACGACTAATTACCTATTCATTCCAGCTATCAGTTTAACGGGTACCAAAATCGTGTAACGCAGTGTAATGGGTAGGGAATAGCGTAAAAAAGGGAGTATAATAATTACCACCAGTGCTGAATATGCAGGAGCTAGCTAATGCTGGTTCTTGGACCAGGGTGCCGGATTAGCATTAGTGTGGACAGTCAGAGTGCACGGTACGGTGCGTACCTACTGTATGCTATGCTCGAAGTTTGTAGCCAAAATTGCCAAAAGTGTAGTGAGAAAAGTGGTAGGGATAGTACGATCATAAATTATATAATTGAATATGTGCTATGTAGAGTTAGTTATACGTCTTGGTCAAGTGGTTAGAGTTGGTTTCTCTCATCTTTATGATCTTGATGCAATACCCAGTTGAAACACACACGATTTTTTTTTTTCAGTTTTGTTAAGACATTACTTAGGTAGAGGCTTGAAATGCTTGAATCAAGCAGATTATATTATCTGCAATCGCCTGTACCTAACGTATAGGTAGGTGATATACCTTCATGTACAAAAACTGATAAACAGCTCAGTAAGAGTATCTCAAAACATCATGTCCTTTAGCCATTCTACCTCACTAACCAATGTCGATACCCCATAAACTCACACCACCTACATTTCTATTACCCGCACGTCCAATTCACAGCGCAGTCGCATCCTATAAATCAACGGTTCCCAAACTTATTTAGTCTACTGCCCACTTTGAGAATAAATTATTTTTAGCGCCCCCCATTTTTGTAGTCAAGAGTCGAGCTCAGTAGGTGTCTAAGAGTCCATCTAGTAGATGACGCCTCCCAAGCCTCTAAACAACGTCCCGATTTTTTTTTGTGGGTCTCTTACCGCCCCCCTTTAAGCCTGCAGCGCCCACAAGGGGGCGTTATCGCCCACTTTGGGAAAGACTGCTATAAATCCTAGAATTCCAGTGCTGTCTTCCAAAACACGTTTACCTACATGAAATTCATTAGCGAGCCGGCCTAATAACTCCCCTTGCGGCTTGTGGGTAGGGAGTGACAAACAGCACCCTGTAAAGTGCTACTGTTGAATTGCAAAAATCTCATTATGCTCTAACTGTCGTTATAGGAGTAATTAACTGCTGGGGACAGGGAAATGAGTGGAGCTGTTGTGATTATTATTTTTGTGGTGATTGTTTCGGGAGTTTTCTAAATTTTTCAAGGAAATTCGACGTTTTGTGATAAATGTGGACTACTAGAGTTGCGATATTATGTGACCGTACTTAAAATAGAGTAAGGCGATTATCACACTGTGCCGCGCTCCGCGGGACGACAGATTTAATCAAGGTATGCAAGTACCTCAGTTTGTATAGAAAACACGCGCGGCGCGGATTTTTTATATGAAATCACGCGGACCGCGGCGGAGCGCTGCGCAATCTGATAACCGCCTAAGTAGTCAAGTTAAACACCGTGATTTCTTATGTAGGCGCTAATTGTAATCGGTGTGACTTTGTAAAAGTTTTAAGTTTGGTGAAGATGTTGTAGCTTTCTTATTCGTTTAATGTTACACTGAAAAATGTTATGAAATAATGTGGTGTGCTGTCTGTTGAACCAACAATTTACAGTTTCGAAGAAAATTGTATTAAGTATTTTCAATTTCCTGAAACTAAAAAGTAGGTACAAGAGTACCTAGCATACGAGTATAGTTTTTTGACAATGCAAGATGCAATAATTCTACTACCATTTTAAGAAAACTTTCGGTTGCACTTACGAAGAATACTAACTGATGTAATTCTAAATACTTTAGTAGTTCTTGCGTCTAGAATATTTTTTACGTGAAAAATCATTTTTTTAAAATCTAAGCCCACAATCTAAACCTGACATCCAATCTATTCCACACCTTTCCCTGCGCTCGGTAATTGTGTTTCGTTATAACGAGTTTTTTGGCGTCCGGTACCCGTTGCAGCCGACCTGCGTTTGCTTTGCTCATTTACTCCTAACTCTACATAGGTTGTGTGCATTATGACAACAAACTAATTAGTCTAATTATCTACTTAAAATGAGTCTTTGTTGTGGTTTCTTGAAGCGCTAGAGATAAAAATAGGCTTTAACTAATTTAATTGGTTCAGAATTGAATTGCTTCATCAATAAGCTTGATTTTAATGAAATGAGATGTCGATTTGCAATTATTTTTGTTATGTAATCAATTCTTTCATGTTAGTGAGCATGCTAATTTTCAAAGAACTACTAAGTACTTAGTTCAATAGCTTTCGGGCCATCACATAAATAGGGTTTCTTTCTTTCTTTCTTTTCAGCCAAATGACGTCCACTGCTGGACAAAGGCCTCCCCCAAGGTTTTCCACAATGAACGGTCCACGGGCTGGAAGACGTAGCGTGGGCAGGCCTCCTACTAGGTGGACCGACGATCTGGTAAAGGTCGCGGGAAGAGCCTGGATGCGGGCAGCGCAGGACCTTTCATTGTGGAAATAGGGTTTAAAATAAACTAAAAAACAATATCACAATTTCAAAAACTTTAATCAAACGTCAAATCAATAGTACCATCAATTGCCATATCTTCAACTTCGTCTGTTTTGTTTGTCTTCGCAACATCTTCTTTCTCAGGTTCCTTGGGTTTTGCAGGTGTGTCCATTGGTCTCACTACGGGCGTCGCGACCGTCTTCCGTCGCTTCTCTTTCACGACTGAGCTTGGAGCGGGAGTGATAGTGCTAAGGTGCGCTTTCTGCAAAAAAACGTAAGTACCCTCATAAATCTTGCAAATGTTGAAATATCTATTGATTGTTAGGAAATTATTGGAAAACCATAGAAAAGTGGAAAACAGATGGGACTTGCCTTATTATTGTCAAAATCATTCTCACTTCATAATAAGAGTAATTTCTGAATGTTGAGTCTTATTTTTAGGACATTACTATCAGTAGGTAGGTAAGTAATATTAATTTATGAAAAATATAAATTCAATAAACTTTCTGCAAGTTTTGACTTTTTTTCTATGAATCCAATACCTGAAATTCATATCAAAATGTTTCAAATCTCACAACGATTACAGAAATAAATTTCAAAATACGGGAAACAAACAGCAAGCGTTAGGTAAAGATAATAATAATACTTATAGGTAAGAAAAAAAATAGATTCATAAGTTTTCAGAAATTAATGAATTAATCTCGTAAATACGTACGCCTTTTCATTCCGCCTACGCGCCTTTTCAATAATTCAGTACATTTAATATTGCATGTGTTTGTCAAATTAGTCATTATTTCAAATCGAAAACAGTAATTGCATAAATAAAATCCTATCGCGCGTCTATTTAAAGATTCAGAATCGAATTTAAATTAAAATTGTGTTAAAATTGGCACCCGATTCATGACTGCCAAATTATTTGGAATGCACAATGTGAATGAAGCCACGATAGCCGAACGGTGAATATGTCGGACTGGCCGACTCGAGATCCGAGGGACGCGGGTTCGAATCCCGCCGCTCGACTATTATTGTGGTGAGCCCACTCGTAACACAAGCATGTTTAGCTTACCACGAAGGGCTGACGGGAATAGAATAGAATAGAATANCGGTAGCCACGACTGTTTGGCGCATCGCTCGCCGGTCTCTTGTGTGTGAACATCACGCATTCCGTCTTTGCGACGGGGCTGACGGGAGTATTAGTAATTTGTGCAAAAACCAATCTACATATACTAAATAATATGTATTATAAATGCGAAAGTAACTCTGTCTGTCTTGCTTTCACGCCTAAACCACTGAACCGATTTTGATGAAATTTGGCATAGATGTAAGATGTATCCCGGGAAACGACATAGGATAGTTTTTATCCCGGTTTTTGAAACAGGGACGCGCGCGATAAAGATTTTCTGTGACAGACAAAATTCCACGCGTGCGAAGCCGCGGGCGGAAAGCTATTTACTAATAATAATCTTTTAATAAATGTGCATGTTCATTTGTGTAATACTCGTAGACCTGTCTAGGTGTTTAATAAGTTTCTTAGGGGCTCAGGTTCAATAAATGAGTTGTAGGAACCCATCGTTTTATTAACTCCTAGAGGCAGACTAAATTCTACATCATCATTATCATTTCAGCCATAGGACGTCCACTGCTGAACTAGGCCTCCCCCAATGCTTTCCACGTTGATCAATTGGTAGCGACCTGCGTCCAGCGCTTCCCTGCTACCTTTACGTGTCGTCGGTCCACCTTGTAGGTCCAAATTCTACATACCCACGGAAAAACACCAGAAAGCTTGGCATTATTTAAAATTAAATTACAAAGTAAGGCAGGGCTAAAGGTGATCTTAGTCGAATCTGTGGGTCAACTCCGTAATAATTGACCCTGCTGGGAAGCGTACCTTGGACCCTGTGTGCTCGTGTTGATGTTATTTTCCCTAATAAGTGTTTGAAAAGTATTCTTTTCAACCTTATGTTTTTCAAAACACAAAAATAACGTCCAATAAAACAATTGATTCGAAGACGAAAGATGTTCGTACTAGGTACTAGGGGTACCTACTGACTGCTGTTAAAACTTACCAATGAAGGATTTCTTCTAACCAAAAGTTTGACATCTTCCGCGTTTATTGTTGACCGCTTGGCATGTCTGAAAAATATGTAATTCTTAATACCCGTCTAGAGTGTAGCTACGTGGGGTCCGTGGCCGAGTCCCCCAGTATTCGACGTATCCGTGGTTGAAGCCCCCGATTTAAATAAATTTAATATCATATTTTTTTCGGCTTTAGCACTAAGTACAGTCAACGAAAACCATGCATGTTTGACGCTATTTAAAATGATGTATTTAATTTTTTGTTAAAAATACTTAAAATTTTTATAATTAAAACTTTTATTTGTAGTTAGTTAAATGTAGAGAGAGTAGAGTTATTTTAAAGACTGACTGTTACAATTATTTTGATTAGGTAAAACGATTTACATGTTATTATAGGTAAATAAAAACTAATTTGATTAAAAATTGCTTCTATCTGACCGGGGGCGTCAACCACGGGTGCGTCGAACACAGGGGGACTCAGCCACGGACCCGCTACGCGTACCTATAGTCCTAAATTTTATACCTAGCATTTAATTTAAAAAATAGATTCTAGAGTGGTGATTGAATTGATTGATAGAAACTTACTTGGCAAAAGCTTCCAAATCTGCTCCATAAACGGACAGTTTTTTATGTACTAATTCAGCTATTATTTCCATAGCTGGTTTAGTGATTTCTAACCCAAGGAAATGGCATGTCTCTGTACAAATGGCGCGAACATCACGGTGCAAAGTAGCTTGAATTTTCTGAAAAATTAAAATAGTTAAATAGCGCCATCTGTTGTCAGTTTATGAAACTACATTAAACTTTTTTCTGTCTGCTTTTTCCAGCAAATGAAAATGTAATCCTTCAGCTTCAACAATTTATGTACTAAAAATATTCAACTTATTTGAGTTATTATTTTGTTACTCAATTAATTTTATACAATTAAATCCAAATAATTAATTGAAGTTACCTGATTCTTTGTCAAACTGTCGTAATTTGTCATTATTTCAACCCAAAGCAAATTTAATGCCCAACACGTTTTTATCACTCAAATACTAATATTCTATAACTTATGTGACATCAAACTTATTAATAGACACGTATGTTATTTTACAATAACACAAAATGTTTATTTAACGTTTATGTATGGAAAATAAATAGAAAAACATTTTTTCCGGCACACACCTGTTTGTTATGACTTTTTACTTTTTTAATGCGCATGTATAGCAAAGGAATCAACTTAAAGAAAATAACGAGTTAACGTTACAAAATATAAAATCTAACTCGAGAAATGTTAAAATGTTTTTGAGATAATGTATAAAAAGCAATTTTAAATCATGAATTTAATTCATCTGTCGGGTTATAATGTACGATGGATCTACTAATAATACAAAAATTGCAAAAACTTTCAAGTGGTTAGTTAGAACTCTGCTCTAGTTGAACTGATGGAAGGATAAGTATCAGGAAATCTTCTGCTCGAGTTTTGTTTTGTATTTTAAGTTCCTCGACGAACAACACAACAACGAGCTGTATAAAGGATAGCAAAAAACTTTTGAAATAACACATTAAAAAATTCTTATATTGCATGAAGCGATGCAGTTTCCCTTCACTCACGATACCTGAAATCGTTCTTGAGAAATCAGGCGATTCTATTTGAAAAAAAATTTGGCTCACCTATTTTGTAGAGGTAAATTATAAAAATTTTAAAATATTTTTTGATAACTCCTACGAGCTTTACTTCAAATAAAACACCAAAATATTAAGTTTAGATTTTAATGAGCATACTATACAACACATAGAACATCCCAACGGAAAGTAAAGCAAAGGTGTATAATTCCTTGCATTTGCGCCTTGTAAAATATGTATTTTAGTAATCCTATTGTAATAATCATAATAAAAACAAACTGTTAATTTTAATTCTTAGTTATTATGACGACGAGGTTTACGTAAAGTAAATGCAAATATTTTTGTCAGAGAAACAAATCAAGGTTACAAAATGAAATTATTTAACACTATTTTCGATAACTCATTTTCAGCCATAACAATAATAATTTCTGTTTGAGTATCTGATGAAAATTAAAAAAGTTTTAAGTGATAGATACATGAGTACTTACAATATTTTTACAACTCATTTTCCTTCTATTTTATATTTATGACCGACAAAAATATTTCTTATGATAATGATTATTTTTCAGATACCCAAACATCAACATGAATTATTACGTTCACATTGCCATGTGACGTCACTTGGTCATTTAAGTTTCTTGCGCATTTTATGCACAGACAGTTGTTGTTAAGGCCTCAACCTCGAACTTAGCGGGCAGCGGGGCGGCGGCGGCGGCGGCGCGGGAGCGGCAGGATCTTATGCGTAAAATCAAATAGACCGGTTCTCGAAAACAGCGGCGCGGCAGCGGGGCGGCAGCGGGCAACGAGCGGGCAGCGGCGAGGGAGCGGGCAACGAGCGGGCAGCGCACTCCTTCTTTTGCCCACAATAAATCGAGCGTTAGGAATAAATTTGAATCGAAATAAANAGCGGGCAGCGGGGCGGCGGCGGTAGCGGCGCGGGAGCGGCAGGATCTTATGCGTAAAATCAAATAGACCGGTTCTCGAAAACAGCGGCGCGGCAGCGGGGCGGCAGCGGGCAACGAGCGGGCAGCGGCGAGGGAGCGGGCAACGAGCGGGCAGCGCACTCCTTCTTTTGCCCACAATAAATCGAGCGTTAGGAATAAATTTGAATCGAAATAAAATTGTCGCCGTTGTTCAGACATTTCGTTTGCGAATAAAAACAAATATCTCGACAACACAACCCCGAACACAACACTTCGCCGCTAAAGCGCCGCGCGAGCTGCCCGCTTGTTTCGAGAACGGGTCTGCGTTGCCCGCCCCGCTCCAGCGCCGCCGCCGCTCCCGCCCCGCTGCCCGCTAAGTTCGAGGCTGAGGCCTAAGTGCTATTATTAATAAAAAAAATAGTTTGGAGTGCTATCGACTGTTCCTAACCAGTGCACTAGAGCTGCGACGCAAGTTTTATTCTATAGAGGTTGTCTAATAATTTTCTCAGAAGTCTTAGGGCATTCGCGGGGCGTACTTAGTTCATGCGTATTTATACGGAACGACAAAGCCCCGCGAACGCACCGACTTCTCATTTAACTGTCAAACGCCCTACGCTACATGACTATGTGAACGTAATATCATTTATCGATACACATTTCGTTTCGTAAAAACATTATACTTTTTCAACACGTTTAGTGTATTTAGGTCCATATTTTAATACAACGCTCAAAATTCGACTCAAATGCAATCCCCAATTCAACCTTTAAGATCGTTCTAATAATATTGATAATCCAATCATGCTTTTAAGTCTATCTTGAGTTTGAGTCGAACTTTGAGCATTATTTCCTACAGGCTTAGACTTTCTTAACAATTTGTACAACATCTTCGTCGGCCAACACGTGTTCAATTCCCACTTTCTGCGGCTGATGCTTCACTGAAGATCCCCATACGAGAGCACTGGAAAGAGAAAAAGTATTAATTAATGTACAGTCACGGAATGAAAAGGTTCGTCAGTTTTCATATTGATTCCTTCAACGAATCGCGAGCACATATTACCTTTTGAAACTATGTTACAGAATAATCTCGAGTTAGAGAAAGTAATCTTTAACTGTTTATCAGTAATGTTCAAAATTATTCAGATCAGAGTTGTTTGACGATTTATCTTGTCAAGAAGATTAGATTTATAAACTAAAACCTTCTTGTTGGTTCAACCTGCCATTATTATTTCTATTAAATAAAAAAAACTATTGTCAATTGGTCAATGTCATCATTGCATTGCACATGGGATAGAAAAATAAACAATCAAAACCTTATTCATTAGCAAATGTCATATTTATTTAAATGTTAGCAGCACTGTTTCTTGCACTGTTATGTTGGCAGGTTTGACAAGCGAAAACCGACACTAAGGTGACGAACCTTTTCATTCCGCGACTGTACTACATTAGAATAATGTTAATTTGTCTTCTGTGTATTAGGGCTTAACTGTAATGCGACATCGCGTCGTAATAATCTACAAACCCCTAATAGCAATTAGGCTGAGTTCCACCACCTTACTTAAACCGTAACTATAACGATATCCGGTGTTATTTATATGGAACTAGCGGCCGCCCGCGACTTCGTACGCGTGGATCCCGTTTTACCCCCTTTTCCCGAATTTTCTTTGCTATAAACCTCACGGAGCCCGAGACCTTTCCAACGAATGCAAAACCGTGGAAATCGGTTCGTGCGTTCTGGAGTTATAGCGTCAGGGAGGAAAACCCGACTTATTTTTGTATAGTAGATTTGACAGATTTTTGACGTTTGTTAAAGTAAGATGGTGCAACCCAACCTTAGTGTCTCAGTTTTTTGCGTTGCGAATTCGTATTGCGCCGATTCGTGGTGTAATTTTGGCGCTTTCGAATTCGAAGGCGTAAATAGAGATACAAATCTTACACAAAGAGGCACCTTTTAGATTAGTATTATTACACTGACAATATAACTTTCCTAGTCTTAACTTTAAAATGTCGAAAACTTAATCAATACTTACTACTTGAATTCCTTCACAATCGACCTATGGAGTTTGTTACAGAAATCTTCAATCGAAGTCTTATCAGCATGCAGAACGACCGGGGCATTGTAATCGGGCAGCTGTCCTTTGGGCTTGGTGTATATCCTGATCAGTTTCAGGTATTCCCACATCTTTTCTAGAAGGTCGTCAAAGTTCCACTTGTGGTGAGCCGAGATGGGAACGCAGTGAGGGATTTTGTAGATGACGTCTAACTCTTCTATGCTAATTTGATCTGGAATGTGGGAAAATTAGCATTTAGTTGGTATAAGTCAAGTAAATTAAATGTTTAAGTAATTGGAAGACAGGTAGATGTGAAGCACGTAAGTGGTGAAAATCATTTAATTTGTTGAATAGCACACGTAATGCGCATTAAACAACATATTTTTGTTAAAAAATCACACCTTTTACATATTTTATATGCCCAACACCTTTATCTTGGCTGACATTATGTCTAACTTCAACTGGATAAAATTTCCTTTTCCCAAAATAAGATATACACTATAGATGCAGGATTGGAGGCCATACAGACTTCATTGAACTAGAATAGCCACTGAAATAAATTTAAAAATGCTCACAGTAGGAGGTTCATCAAGTGAAGATCTTGGAAACAACAATTTGTCCTATAGGACTATAGTGGATGCCTTTTCTTTTTTTCTTTGATACAAACAATAACTGATCAAGTGTATAACTAACCGATCTTGTTCAGTAGATAGATGCAGGGCACGTATATCCTGTTGCCTTCAATGACGTCGATCAGATCGTCGCTGGTCGCGTCGTACCGCAACGTGATGTCCGCGTTGGGAATCTTGTATTCGGAGAGGATTGTCCTCACCGCTTCTAGGTCCAGCTCAGATTGGGGACACTGAAATTAATGTTGATAATTTTAGTGAATGGATAATGTAGGCATTTGAGAATAACTAACTCCAAAAGACCGACAGACAACCTCATAAAGGTAGCAGGGAGGTGCTGGGCTGGCTGCTATCAGCCAGGCGATGTTAAAATCATTGTAGGTTTATGTTCAGCAGTGGACATTCTTTAGCTGACATAATGATGAACTCCAGAAGTATCAAGGGCGTCTTTACCATGGTTAACATTGTATACCTCTTAATTGTGATAAAATAAATATTATAATATAGTAAATTGATATAGACTGTATCTATTAGAAATGCAAATTGACAGATAGGATAAGACTGCAAACAGATTTTTTTAATGTGTAGTCCTACTTATTCCTATCTCTCTCTTTTAAAACCACAGTATTTATGTAATAAAGACTTTCATATGATTTTAACAGACACCAAAACTCACCGTAGTATTCAAGTTGATTCCACCCTTGTCTTTTTTCCTAAAGTGTATGTTCGGTGGCTGTTTGTTTAACCGGAGCCCGAAGCCTTCGAGCTCATGCTCCAGGAGTTTCTTGTGCTGCAGCGGCTTGAGGACGTCCAGCACTATGAAGATGAGACTGCACGTGCGGGCCACGGCGATGACCTGCCGACCGCGGCCCTTGCCGTCTTTAGCGCCCTCGATAATACCGGGGAGATCTAGCAGCTGGAATGGTAGAGTACGATTAATTTTATGATCACTTGGCTGGCTGGGTAAATTACACACTACAACTAAAAAGGTAACAAGTTATCCTGCCTCCATGGGCGTACTTTTTGAGGCAGGGGAGGTTGAATTGCCCCCCCCCCCCTAGGTCAGTAGCTGAGTATAACCTGCCCCCACCCTAGGGCAGAAGCTGGGTAGACCCATGCTTGTCTCTATTTAATAACTGTGACCATCCCTTTAGCAAACATAAAAATTGTAATGTAAACAAGAATGTTTATTATGTTTGCTACAAAGTTACATAACTGTACAGTTTGGTAGACTGCAGTTATTTTAAAGAAATAAATATAAACGAACAAATACACACAACATTGTTTTAACAATTACATAAATTTTATCTCTGTGTATGCAATCACTCAAGAGATTATGGAACAGATTAGTTTTGTGCTTAAAAGCGATGAGAATAATAAAATTATTTTACTTGTTGTTCCAACTAGTAAACCCAATAACATAATGATTACGTTCATAAATTACCTGAATTTTAGCCCCCTTGTATTTAATACAACCCGGCACAGTTGTCAGCGTTGTGAACTCATACGCTGCCACCTCAGAGTACACGCCGGCTAAGTTAGACAGCAATGTTGACTTTCCCACAGAAGGAAAGCCCACAAAACCGATACGGGCATCACCGGTTTTGGCAACGTCGAAACCTGTAGATTATAGTGATGCTTTGTATTTTAGGTGTAATCAGTTTATGAGAGAACTTTGATTTCAGAAACAAAATCTAACATAGGATATTTTAATTTATATTCCTTGACCAAGAAAGTGGTCACTAAGTACAGTTCTAAATAAAAGCTACTATAACGGCAGTAAATAAATACCATATGAATGATTTCTATAATAATGTATACCTACTTAATGCTATAATGTAAATATTTCTACGCCACAAGTGGCAGACCGCAGGACCGTGCATTGTGGAAAGCCTTGGAGGAGGCCTTTGTCCAGCAGTGGACGTCATTTGGCTGAAACGAACGAACGAACGAAGTGGCAGAAGGTGCTGAACCCGTTGTTATTTAATATCTTGTTATGTTACCACTTTCTAAGAAATAAATGTTTTTGATTTGATTTGATTTTGAGTAAAATAAGCATTTTTTATAAAGTTTCAGCTATGTTATGTGTACTAGTACCAGTATTTAAGTACAAAGGGGTAAAGATTAGTATTGTGACCCAAAAAGGCGAAAATACAAACCTTCGCCAGTAGCTCCGCCGCCGCCCTTGGGTGTGATCAATTCTCGTCTCAATTTAGCAAGTCTAGCTTTCAATATACCCAAGTGGAGAGCTGTGGCTTTGTTTTTTTGTGTTCGGGCCATCTGAAAGTATTTTTTTTGTCATTGTGAAACTAGGGCACTTAACAAAACACATTTTTTGTATGATTGTCTTCAAATTATGAAACTCTCGATCGGTCTCTATTCTGAATATCATACATTTTGCTGGAATTTATCGAGTAAATGTGAATAGGAATATAACCTCTCGTACAAACCTCGGCCTCGATAGCGGCAATTTTCTCCAATATCGTACTCATCTTTGCAGTTTATTATGAATCAAAGTAAGTCCAGGGGTAGTGTTAGATCTTAAAAATAAATAAATTAATTGATAAGAATGTACAATCGCTTTGAAATTAAACTGAAAGCGTGTCAGTTTTCGGTCGTGGACAGTTTTCCAGAAAAATATTAAAATTTGACATTGACGTTGACATTTCTAAATTCACATCACAGATTATAATCTGATTTACGCAGAATAAAAGAAAGAAAGAAAATATTTTAAAATAAACAATATTCAGACAATTTTGGAATTATTTGAACTATGTTAATTAACGAAAGTAATTCATCATCATCATCATCATTTCAGCCATAGGACGTCCACTGCTGAACATAGGCCTCCCCCAATGCTTTCCATGTTGATCGATTGGCAGCGGTCTGCGTCCACCTACAAGGTGGACCGACGACATCGTAAAGGTAGCAGGGAAGCGCTGGACGAAAGTAATTACTTTTAATTAAAAAAATGTTAAATTAGACACCAAAATTAATTAAAAACTTTTTACATAACTGCCATCTGTAGTACGACGCACGAACTAATATTTAATAATTACTGAACCCGCTACAAGATAGCAGCGCTAAATACAAGTTCGTTCCAAAAGTAGTCCACAGATGGCGCTTTATTACAAATGTGGTTCCTCCACCCCCCGAGAGATGTCACTGTGCGGTATGTAAAGCAAATGAAACAAACCACGTGGAAATGCTTTCCCCGCAGGTTTGCGCAACGTAAGTACAGAAGAAAAGGAACACTGGAAAACAGTTTGCGGGTATGTTTGATACAGTCATGCCTCAGTACTACCTTGGGTGTCGAGACGGGAGGTAGCCTCGTCGGGTCGCGCAGCTGCCTCCGATAAGTTTACGGGAATGAAAATCGGAGAGCAGTAAAATGATATTTTCCAATGATAGTGATGCTACATTTTCCGAGTGATTTATAACCATTACTTGGTTCATAATTCAGTGTAAATAAAACTTTTTTGGTAGTTTCAAGTGATTTAAAATGTAATTATAAGGTGTAGATTTAAGGTAACAGCTATGACAACTTTTCAAAGAGTTTGTTTAATGAAATAAGCTTAGTTCGTAATGTGTAAAAACAATTCTTCAGATTATGTTTTAGGTAAGTTTATAAGCGTTGATTCCTAATAAATTTTCAGGATAATTTTCTTATATCAAAAAAAGTTTTTTGAGCTTAGCAAGTAACAAAATTAACTATACTAATTTTAAATGTAAAAACAAGCATATTAAAACTCATACGAGCTTAAGCAGAAATGAAATTACAACGTTAATTTTATAAATTGAAAGCTGAAAGCTTCGAGTTAATAAAATCACCTACCTACCTACCTGAAGTAGCTTGTAAATAATTAATTTTCGCTATAAGTAAGTAATTCGAGGCAGTAATTACGATACTTGTTTGTTCTGAAAATAAAATAGGCCTGCCTCATTACTCGTACATAGTTTTTTTCTTAGATTAATCTTTATATTTCAAATAATTTTAATTGTTTTACTTTTTTAAAGTCAAGTAATAAAGTTATTGCAGTAGGTAACTTAATATGGACAGGTATTTTATTACTCTAGTTATTGAGGCCTATTTGGCAGAGGGTCAAGATTCAGGTGCCAGAATTTATAATCCGGATTGATGGTAACTGTGTAGGCTGTTAGGCTTTGCAGGCAGGTAGGTACAAGGTTTTCAAGATGAATAATATTCATCATCATCATTTCAGCCATAGGACCTCCACTGCTGAATATAGGCCTCCCCCTCAGATCATAGAACTATGATCTGAGGCCTCCCCCAATGATTTCCACAATGGCCGGTTGGTGGTAATTAAGATATTTGCAAATAATAAGTTGTGTGGACTCAATTTTTAAAAGTGAGCGCAATATTCAGAATTTTTTTTTGTTCTTTCAGGAAAAGAAAGGAAGTTAGGTACATTCAACGAAATGCCTACAGGGAATTTGTGTGAATAAATAAATGTGATTTTCAGATATTAATAAGAAGTAGGTAGCCATAACTATTGAATCTTTCCTGAACTTTCTGCAGTCATTAGTTTTTTTTTTGTTTGGCTCACGAGCTTTTTGTCCAGGGAAAAATATTATAAGGTCATTCAAATTCGAGAACTTACACACTAAAATAAAATAAAAAATAGGGTTCCATAATCTAATCCACGATAGAATATGCTCTATAGTAACTTTTTAAGATTTTATTGAAGGTTATAAATGCTTATATCATTAAGACACCTTTATCAAACTTACTTCAAAATATTTTTTACGAAATCTTTTTCTATAATATTATAATTTTATAAAAAGGTCAGTTGCTCTATCACTTTGCAACTAATAAAATCTCTCAAATCCAGACTGTAGGCGAGTATTTATTATTTCAGGCACGTTTGGTGTCATAGTGCTCATCCGAGGTAGTGGATATTCAATTTATATGACGTAGGACCTTAATCCGGATGTGAGAGGAATACGGTTTTCCACTTTTATTTTGACTTTGGACAAATCAACAGGTACTTTATTATAATATTTTCAAGTTTTTGTGGTAGAGATGGCACGCATTATATACACCCCGGGTCCTATTCGATTATTTGCTGAAATGCAGGGACGTTTTGTAGAGTTTAGCTTTAACATAAATGTTAAGTTTACTGCCCAATCACACAATTTAATGAATAAGTGTTTTTTTTTAGGATTTTGATGTCGATCCCTTTAGAAAGTTATTGGATATAGGTAGTACTTATCAAAACCAGGTAGGCTTATTTTAAGTAGTGTAGAGAGTCAATACATAACTTCTAATGTTAAGTCAAAGTTACTAAGTAACTAAAGTTGGTACGAACAAAGCAAGCGGGATCGAAACTTAGGAAAGGGGATGGGTTGATATTTTGTCTAAAAATTCTTAGAAGACCCTGATAGACACCTTGATGATTGATGATCCTCACACATAAATCAATTCCCACCTCACGAAAGTTTATACAGTAATTCGTTGTTTCTGCCTTTGGTTAAGTTTAAGACCCCAAAGACGTAAGAGTTATAGGGAAAATACATAGGAAAATCACAGAATAGATAATAGTTTGGGAAAATACACTGTTCCGTCAAACAGTTAGGCGGAATGTCACAAGTTATGTATGGGTTTTCGTTATGGGACGACTCTCGGGGGATATTAAGGGCGAAGATGTTTTCGGGGTGGAAAAGTTCGTGCATAATTTTGGCGAGTTAAAGTATGCGATGATTGCTATCTTGGTGACTTTTTATTAAAAAAACTGTTTACGATCGTTTTATATTTTTTATTCAATAAAACAGATCCCTGTTTAAATTTTTGGATAAAAATTGTGTGTTCATTCGGCTTTTTTAAATTGAACCTTTTTTGTTGCAGGTATAATCTCTGACGAAAACAATTGAACGTATTAAAAATAAATCAGTGTTCTAGTGATGATGACTTATAAAAAGTAAAAGCTGCCATCTCAAATGGCGAGTGTAGAAAAAAATACGATTTGAATTTCGAAATGTCATCTGAAGTGTCATTGGAAGCGCGGGAACGGCCAGGGTTCGTTCGCCGCTGGTCGGCTGGGCTGGCCCGGGCCTCCTGTTCCCAAGTAGGGCTGGTGATCTTGGTGGTGGTATACGTACTCCTTGGTGCGGTGTTGTTCGAGTATTTGGAGTCGGGACCAGAGGTGCAGAAGAGATCCGCCATTCAGCGGTCGAGAGAGGAATGCTTGAAGGAGCTCTGGGCTATAACAGGTACGAATTTATTTTATTTATTGCATGAAAACTACTACGAGCATTTAAAAAAATAATACACATTTTAAGATGAAACTGGCCAACGCCTACGAAAGCTTTAATAGAAAAAAAAAGTTATTTCAATACTGTCGTCGGGATAACACCTTTCTCTCCTTTCAACGTAGGATGTATGTGAGTTATTTCCCTTGCCCTCATAAAAATGTTCTTTTTGAGGTTTGTTTCTCAAAAATGTCGATGCTTTTAGAGATTCGGGTTCGGAACGTTTCGTATTTCGCGAACCCTTTGCAAAAGGGCATTACATTTTTTCCTCAAGTGAAAAATGTTTTTTCTTTTAGGATTTCTCAGATACCATGAAAGAGAGAATTTTCTTTCGTTAGGGACACAAACAGATAATAAGTATTAAAGATGTTTATTTTAGCTCACAAATTGTTACTGTGAAAGTCAGCCGTTTTTGGAAAAGGCTTTTCTTAGTAATGTAAAAACCTGCACATTTTTAGATCTAATAATTATTTACAATTTTTTTTATAATGAGAGTGTAAAAATACTCGTACACATATAAAATCAGTTAATTTTCACCACAGATGACGTTAGCTTTGTTTAACAATCGCTAATTTTTTTAAACAAAAATAAGCAAACTCATATCGATAGCATCCGTTCAACGCCCGGTAGCTAAAAACATTTTACGAAAATCAAACTGAAAAAGGTGTCATTTCTTTTCACGAACACCGAGATATCTGAAAATCGAATTGCGCAAGGCTCGTTATGGAGGTGACCCATCTACATAATGGTTTTGTCTTAGTTCCATCGAAAAAGCGGAACATTTTTTGTCCCTTTGACAACTGACCTTTGAGAGATACTTAGGCTGTACTCCATATAATTTCCCTTGTGCCCTGTGACAAAGAAAACCCTTGTGTTCGGATAGGGCTGGCCAAATGAATAACTAGTTTAGCTCCATACAAGATAAGTCATCTAAGTTACATACCATGGATTTATTAAGTAATAATTTTGGTACACTTTAGCCTTTACGTGTTTCAGACAGGCCTTGTCCCTTGTCCTCTAAAGAGGGATAAAAAGCATAGTAAAAAACAATCGCTGTTCTACATAGATAAACAGCGGTCCAATTCCTCCAACAGATTCAAACATACGATAAAGCTGATAAAAGTATTAAAATGTTGTAAATAATTGGTATTTCTAAGCCTACACTTTGTATTCCAATGGAGTTTATATTTTTAGTGTTATGTAATCAACTATTATGATTCTCCTGCATGACTTATTTTCACATTTCGTTCTAGTTGTTTTTGCATTACGCCTTTATTCTAATACTTGGGTAATGTTTTTCTTACTCTGTGCCAGCCCTGACGATCCAATAAGGATGACCCCACGGAAGTTATTTTAGGGACACTATGGGTACAATAAAGTGGCTG